AACTTGGTACATTCCATGCTTTTTGCCGGCATCCTCAGTCGGTCATGGTCTCGGTCTTTACGCCTTCAAGAGAGAGGTTATAGTCATTGCTTCGGTTTTGGGTTTCGGGCGTTTTAGGCCCTCCTTTTGCAAGTGATTATGTATGACTGTTTGGACTTTCGTGCCATGACGGAATCATCGGACTCCCCTTGGCAACTGCCATCAAAGCCATGTCGGCCGCATTCTGTTAGCGGAGCACTCGGAGCCCAGCTTCGCTTCATGTCATCTGCTGGGAGTGGGGGCCGATCACAGCCGATCACGAACCAAGTGACCTCATTGTCCGTTGCCGCGGCGCAAGGGGTGCTTTGGATCGGCGCATCTTCGAAGGGTCGTTTGCGCGTGTGGCAACAAAAGCGACGCAACGAAATGGTCCTATTCAAACCTCGTGGATCTCGGGATTCATCCTGGACATTCGCTTCCTCTTCACTCCAGACTCCAAGAATAGAGTATATTTAATCCTGTATCAAGATTGAATAGGTTTCGAAATGCCATTGCATTTTGCTTAACCTTACCTCTCAAAAACTTCACATTTATGCATTCTTATTAAAGTGTTACTCACATCATAAATAAGTAATATCGTTGAGTTTGGTGAAAAATACACGTTTGCAAATTCACTCCTTCACTCGTCTTAACTGGCCTAATCAGACCAAATTTTCATTCCACAATTTCTCCTTATTTGTCAGCATGCTTATACTGAAATTTGGTACCATACTCGGACTCCTCCAGAATCGGCTCCATCTGGCCTTTTGTCCATCGCGCTACACGAAGCAGGGTCGCCGGGGCAAAGGTCTTGATGAGGCTTGATTACGAGACCAAGAAATAGTCCCAGAACTTTGGCTAAAGTCGACCAAGCATTGGGTCCGTTGGCGGTTTGGATACGTCGAATGGGGCTGAGGTCACTGAGAGGTCTCTTTGTTCTCTCGCCCAAACGGCACATCCAAAGTGACAATCACTTTTGGCATGACACTCGTAAAGAGCTTACAAAGTCTGAAAAATGACGAGACAGTATATGCTTGACAGACGGGAGGTATCTCGCATGAGTTACTTTCATTTCGAAGGCACACTCTCACCACTTGAATCGGAGGGGATATTATTTAATATTTGATGATATAGTATATTGTCTCAAGAAACAATAATATAGGATAGACTTCATTTATTTCCGAGTATGTGAGGTTGGCCCCGGCACTAAAGAAGTGTTTGAGGGACCTTTTAACTGAGGCCAAAGATGACACAAATTGGGGTTGTCATGTTTACGCTTGACTGAATTACCAAAAAGTCTGCTTTGAGTCTGTTAGTTGGTTTTTTACAGAAATATACACTTTGAGGATAGCCTCATATCTCATAAATCACACCGAATGCCGGTGTTTTCCAAGTGTTTCCCCTTGCTCCGCTTTTGTGATCTGGTTATGTCTTGTTTTTTACTTGTTGGACGAGGAGGTGCTTGAAGATTTCCGAAAACCGATTTGCATAGGATTCCGTATCATCAGCCGAAAGGTAGCAAATGGACATTTAAAAATGATTAGTGGCTAAGTGAATTTGGCTATTGTGACCAAATAAGTAAATATCTGAATCAGTCAATCGCTCTGCCATGTAAAATGGCACTGAATGATTGCCTATCAAAGTGGATTATTTAATTAATCACTCAAATGATCAATTTACGAACCATGTTTTTTGGCCAAGCGGTGCCTTAAGCATATAATACATACACAACTAACCAGCTCGGTGACGCCATCACCCAATTCACAGCCAGCTTATATACTAATTTATGTTTTGTTTAATTAATCGTTTATCAGATGCTTAACTGATGGCTAAACTGAATTAAAAATGCTGAACAGGGTCAGACAAATGTTCAACAAGGCACTAAACCAGATGGATTATTTTCTCTCTCAAAAAATGCGTTGCTAACGGACTTATTGCCCAGCCAACTAGGCAACTAACTGGACCATTCGTTCAAATCCAGCTAATTAGTTGCTGTGCCACCACTCAAATAGTTTTTAATCTATCTCTGTAACCAAACTTGAACAAAATCTCAACCAGATTTGGTTGCTTAAGGAGATTTAAGAGCTAGTATTTGAGCTTTCCCACAATCAGATGAGTATGCCGCAAAATGCCATTTGTATAACGCAATTTTCGATTAAGCAAGCATGTGTTTATCATTGCAATCGACGACACTACTTATTTTAGATGTGAGTAGTTTTAGAG